TACAAATTCCTGTGATTCGTGAACAAGCTGCAGCCACTGTTCATAGATGAGCAGCTGAGGCAGAAAAGAAGGCTTTAATTTGATGTTTTATCCATCAAATTAGAAACACTAGCTGAAAACTCTGCTCCAAAGATGTATTTGACAGCTTAATATTTTTTCCCCAGTGGCTGCTGACAATTCTTTGGCAGCGAGCGTTCACTTTATCAACCAGAAAGCCGGCTCAGGATTTGGCTGATCCTAAGTGATAAGTCACGGCAAACTGCTGCGAGTTTTCTGGTTGTCTGACCTCGATCCTGTGAGCCAGGCTGAGTTTAAACTGTCAGAACCAAAACCTCCAAGACCTCGACAGCGACCGCTCGTGGGTGGCACCGTTGGTTCCCTGGACGGGAACCAGAAGAAATTGATAGCATGAGCAGGCGGTGCTCACCGCTCTAACCTCTGAACCCACAAGGGAACCAACAGTGTGGTTGCATTCATGCAGTTACACGTCTGTGAAACATCAGCAGCCGGTCAGCCTGCCTTAACAAGTTTCTTTATTTAATTCTGCTCAGGCATCACTTTAACAAGCGATCTCGGAGGGACCGGACTATAAAACTCCAGCCACGTCTTTTCTGCCCTGTCTCCACCGTCTGAAACCTAAAATAACTGCTTAGTGATCCTAATGAGCTGAGAAAGAGAGGTGTGACTGCTTGTTAGCGCTCGCCTCGCCGTGCGCCTCCGTCTCCCTGTCATGTGGCCTTCCCAGTCTGTGGGTCCCTCGGGTACTGTGAAGGGCCTGCACCGGAGCCATTAGGAGCCTCCCATTTTGACCCTCTTTTACTGTAATTGGACCTGCTGATGAGAGGGGAGACTCTGGACCTCTCATTCTGCAGGATTACATCCTTTAGGAGCAGCATACCATCAAGAGCTCTCCCCCCTTTATTCCCTGTCTGTCTTTGAAGAAAGCAGACATGTGCGGTGGCTTTGTGGCGTTGTTCGTGTCCGATGAATAAGATCAAGTCAGAATGTGTACTTTACTTAAGGAAGGTCTACTTTTTGGGGACTTTGGTTTCCAGCACTCAAAGGGACTTGTCATAAACACATGTGTTTTGAGTGATGAAAGATGACAAACAGCGTTTGAAGACTCGGTTTGTACGACTGACGAGTGCGAGCCATCCCCATGTTATCTGATATTGGCTGTCTGTGCTTTCAGGGCATATGAAGTTTGTTTGTGCAGTGACATCGTTTATTTGACTCCGTAAGACCTCCTGCTATTCATTAACACCGTTCACAGTTTCAGCTTTCGTGCTTGATCCTCCACTTTAAAGGTCAAGTGCAATCAAAGCACAGGTCTCTCTGTTTTTTGTAAAATAAAACGAAGGGAAGAACTTCGTGAGCAATATCCCCGTAAGATTCTTGATTTTTAACTAGAACGTTAAGACATTTCCCTCAGCCTCCAACGTCCTTGACAAGTTTGGTCTTTATATCTTCGCCAAACGTTGAGCTGTGTCACTCTCTTTAAACTGATTCTTCCTTAAAATCAAATCAAATCAAATCCAAAAGGCAAACATCAAAACTTGAATGGAAACCTTGGACACATTGAAGCTTTGCCACAGGTTTTCATCTACACCGAGATCAATATGATTTTTACCCCCTTAAAATTAAAATATTTTAACTCAACCCTAGACGAGTTGACGAAGCCAGATGTGACCTGGTGCAGGACACGGTACATCCACAGAACTTGATTCAGGGAAGAATTATCCAAAGGAAACAGCATGTGAACAGGTGTATAGGCTTAAACTGAAGACATGTAGAGAAATAGCTCTGTTATTTTTATAAATTATAATTTTTTACAATTCATCTGAGAACTTTCTGACTGACCTGTTTCTACTAAACCCTCTAAACTTTAACAAAGACAAATAACGGCAGGTAGAAGATGATTTTTGACAAATTAATAATTGGAATTATCAATATAGAAAAAAAGTCAAAAAAAAAAATAAACGTGTTCATATTTTAAATTTAAACGGTCCCAATATGCCAACCATCTTATTGAAGAAAACTGTAATAAAAGGAAGGTTTCAGGCTCCATTTTTAGATTCCGACTTTTAGTCAATATTATATATTGATTGTTATTGATATTCCTTCATTCAGTGGTTGGAACAAATGCTTGGCACAGGAATTTCCTTCAGGATGAATAAATCAATTTCCAATTTCCAATGGGAAATTTGAACTGCTCTATCAAATTATTCAGCTTGTATGACAATTATTAAAGCTGACCAGCAGGACAGAAAATACAATTACTTTTTTTATTATTTAGGAAAAAGCGGATAATCCAATGTGTTTATTAATTTATACCTGGGCTGTGAAACTCAGTCTGGCTCAAAATTATTTGACAAAACGTCACCAACATGAAGTGTTGGAGCATTTTTTCCCTTTCAAAATTCTTTAAGATTAAACCCCTAGTGAGCTGGTTTTGGCCCGAATGCCGTTAGTTTCACACCCCTGATTTATACCTTACACATTACACTTCTGTTGTGAGCATTTAATACACTGCTCTTCATAAGTGAACTAAAGTGTATTTTTGTGTTCAGTTCATACCAAACTGGCTTTAGTTCTGCCTGCCTCTGAAGAACCCTTATGTGACGGCTGTCGTTGCTTTTCCTCGGTGGGCCGTGATGTCTAGTGACCATAATGATGAACTAACCTTGGTAGATTCACATATGTTTGAGTCAAGTACCTGCATTAAACTCAGCACCTATAACTACTGCAGGCCACAGATCTTCTGTGAGAAATCTACTTGACTCCAGTTCTGGAGACAAACTTAAACGCTGGAACAGTTTGCCTGTGTCTGGTGCAGCAGTTCCACAGCGGCAGTAAGACACTCCATAAATTCTCCTGCTAAATACGGTTCCAGCTTCTCAGCGTCTACCTTTGCTGTCTGACAGAAGAAAACCTGCCTGAAAACCTCAGCCAAAATGTGGTTTTGTTGCTTACCGGGCACACGGAGCCTTTTTAAAGGGAGTTTATTTTATACCAAGTATATTTGTCCCTGCAACTGAACCGGTTTATCATGTTTCCAGCTGTGAGATTGGGCTTTTGTACCAACATGAGCACATCACACCACAAATTAGTCACGCAGGCTTTTCCTTTTATGTCAACAAAAAAAAATGAAATGTTTTTTCCATTTGTTTGGAAAGTCAAACTCTCTCCATGAAATTTCTTTATGAAAAACACCATCGCACAAAGAACCTCCCTGATTCTTCTGACAGTTACACGTCAGTGTGATAAAATAAATGCTTTTCAATGAAGAAAAGACCTTGGACAGTGTTGGCTTCCCTCCTTTATTTGACTTTTTTATTACAGGATTATTTTCCAGACCATTTGCTTAAAACCTCCAGCTGTTGAAGAATGTTGTTTTCCTACTTTGTCCTCCTAAACAAAAGAAAGAAGCCTCTCGCCGGTAAATTATTTGACGTAATCCATATATTTTACAAGCAGCAGGCAGATAAGAAATTCTTGGTTATTTTTACACATCCTACGTCCCGTCTTCAGACTGAAGTAAATAAGGGATCCCGAGACGGAAGAGGGTTCAAAGCCCTGTATATCCTGTAGTAAATCCCTTGTAGATTGTTGCTCCCGCACATGTAACTTTCCTCTTCAAAGTCCCGGTGCTTTACCAGCACGATACAGGGCCAGAGGCTTCCCTTATGACTATCTGTCTGTCTCTGTCTTTATCGTCTCACCAGCATACCAAGAGTGGCTGCACGGCACACAGATCTCAGCCCACTTCCTGTGCAGGATACAAAGCTGAGCTTTTATGTGTTAAAAGCTGTCTTGGGTAAAAAAAAAAAAAAAAAAAAAATAAGGGAGCAACTGAAAAAAGACGGGAGATGAATGAGACGCATCTAAATGAAGCCCTGTCTCTCAGAAGTTGTGAATGAGCCATTTTAAAACATGACAAGATAAGGCCAGATTATCTGCCGTGATTAGCGGGGTCATCCTTGTATCACTGGGTTTCAAAGGGATGTCTCGTGGTCGGAGACACGATGGAAGAGGTGAGCCCCGTTCTCCTTCCTCTTCACCCACACCCACAGTACGCTACATTCACTGCAATCCATCCAAGTCCACTGGGCCAGAAGGACAGATAGAGATCACAGTAAAGGTAGCATGAAGCTCCACTGCACGTGGCTGGGGATATTCCATATCTAGCGGAGATAACGACACTTCTTTTTCCCCAGGAAAAATAAATAAAAAATCCAAGTAATAACTCAAAAAGAAAATTCCAACACTTCAGCTGTGATAAGGAAAACTGTTTGTGGCAGTTCAGATCTCCCTCTGATAAAAGAAAATCCAAGTTAAGTACGAAAGCTTTTTTGACGTTGGAATCAGTAGCTGGACAATTACTTCCACGTGGACTTAGCTGCTCATGAGATAAGTGATTGGATCAGCACCAGAACACTGTGTGTGTGTGTGTGTTTGGAACGTCAAGATGATTATCACAGGAAACAGGAAAACAATTCCATTCAATTATATTGTGTAGTGATAAAAGTAAGATCAGGATCTTTACTGGCTCAACATGTGAGCTTTTTAAAAACACCTCCACGCTCCAACTGCCCGTAGCCTGAACGGAGCACAAACGTGCTGCAAACGACAAATGGTAAAGCACCTGCAGTAAGTCTGTGTTCTCCCGATGCCGTGGCTCAAAACGGGTTGAGAAACACTAGTCCAGCAACACGTGACATGTGTGAAATAATCAGTATAACCTGAATGGTTTGGATGTACAATAGAACCACAGAATTGTTGAAGGCCAGATTGTTCACATGGAGACCAAGGCTCAGCTGTACTGCACCATTTAGGTCACAGAAAGGAAGGGATTTTGCCCAAATGACAGACCATTCCAGTCAGAGTATCACAGTAAAGATAATAGTTGGGCTTTAGGATTAAAATTACATGAAGTTGGACTTTCCTCAAACCAGTAATATCTATCAGACACCGTGCTATTTAGTGGGTGTTTCCTTCAAAACACTGCGCTCTTACATACCTTCATGTATGCCACTTTATGTTCTTGGGTTTTACGAAACTCCAGCAGAACCAGGAGCGACACACAGTGAGAGCCTTTACTGCCTCACCTGCACTTGGCGTAATGACCTAACTGATTTTCCATGTTAAATTCTCCATTTATAGTCTGGAAACTGCTCCCAACGCCAATGTCTTTTTGAAATCTATCAGAGGAACCTGACTTCCCAATTTCCATCAACACATTAGCCATCTGGATTGTGGGAATCTGACATAATGATGGATGAACGTTGGTCCAAAAACCCCTGCTCGTTTTTCTACGGCTGTGTCTCGGCCTTCATGTGCTTCCAGCCTAAGAGAGTCGGCGTGGCACCGCTCCAAAGAGTCTAATCATGTTCATTGTCTGAAGCAGGACATGGACGTACAACTTCTAAAGTGCTGAATGTGATATGTGATATTTGAGAGCTGATTTTAACATGTGGTGCACATTCAGGTCTGGAGCGATGCCGGGTCTTTTGGCCCCAGCCTCCGATCGCGGCTGACCTTTGTCCCTCAATGTGGAATTTGCTATTTATTGTGGCTTTAATGATTTTACTCTGATTTAAACCTCTTTCATGTTCATTCATGTGTTTATTGTTGCATGTTTGTCAGCAGTGGAACCACATTAAATCAGATGTGGGTGTAGTGCCAGCTAAATGTGGTTGTGGTGCCTGTGGTGTTGTCGCTGGCCAAACACGTTGTTAATGTCTGTCCACACTGGACATGGTTTACGCAGTCATCTCCACGTCCTGCGAGGTGATTAAAAAAAACACGTCCATTTGAATAGGTAGTAACTCAATAGGTCTGTTTTAATAACAGTGAGCTTCAACAAGAGCCCATTACATCTATCGGTGCTTCCCTGCAGCCGTCCTAAATTCCCTAATGAGTTCAGTGCAAATTCATGACATTAATTCATTTGTTGAAGGAGTTCCATTTGATTTGTGACACAGATATTGACGGCGGTCTTTGCTCCCGCTCCAAGTCCATCGCAGCAGCAGGACGTCCATGTGCAAGGAATTACATAAAGAGAGTGGTTCCAGTAAAACATTGGTGTACATATTTGTTATGGAAAGAATGAGCTTGAGTAATTGTCATTTGTGCTGTTGTGGGTGGTGAATATTTCCCTTGTGAAGTGGTGTTTGTTCCTGTTCTCTTTAGTGCTCTTTGGGAAATGACCTGAAGGTTCTTTGTATGTTCGGCTTCACTATAACGAAAAAACATTTCATGTTTTCACCAAGCTTTCTTAAAAATGTAATTACCCTTCAACATGTCTGCATACCAAAGATTTTTAGTTTAGTTTTTTTCTAAATCTTTACAAAAAAAAAGCCCAGAAGATGATGTTGATGCCTGGAGTTTAACTCGATCTTTTATTTCTGCCCATATTTTTAAACTGTGTTCCTTAAAAGCAGCCAAAATTATACTTCTGATGAATCTTCCAAACACAAAGCTTTTATAGTCAGTCGTTTTAATTGCCTAAAAATAAAAAATTGCCTTTTTCCACGGGGGTGCATTTATGGGATAACAATTATTCCATTTTTGGTTTATTTATAGTTTGTGCCCCCGGGCCAGGGAATCAAAACTGTATTTTATGAGTGCACCTCATAAATGACTCAGGTGGTCTGTGTTCCCTACATTTTGATTAGCTATAAAACTAAATATGTGTTGATTGATCAATGTAATGACACATTTTTTTTCAATTTAACCAAACATAATATCAGGGCTTGGTTTTCTCTCTGGGTCTTTAACCTGTTGGCAGAATATGAACAAAATGTAACATCTGTTCCACCAGGTTTATGTGGCGTTGTGTTTTTATATGTATTTAAAAAAAAACCAGCATCTCTCAAAAATAATAATAAAAGCTAATGTGTATATTCCAGAGTATTCAAGTATCTATTAGTTTTAGTGGTAATACTGTATATAAAGAGAGTATATACATGCCCCCTCCCTGTAGGTGGTGCTATAAAAGGTGGTGCCAATGCATATAAAACTGCACATTCTCACCTTAAATATGGTTAAAATGTCACTATGGAAAACATAAAAAATACATAACATAATCATTAACAACAGCCAGCATTACCACCTGTTGGTTATATATCCTCACAGAAAATTACCAAATTTAGGTAAAAACAAAATAATAATAATAATAAAAAAGGAAACCGATTAAACAGCACTATAAAGTATCCTCCCAAATAAATGACTGGTGTCAACGGTTCAAATGATAATCTGGAAAACCACGTCCTGTTCACAGACTGACTGGTCCCATGTCTTTCTCAGCAGGTCTATCCATGCAGCAATGACAAAGAGTGCTCTCTGGGCAGCTACTGCCACAGCCCCCAACACGCCCCGTCCCGCTGCCTCACCTGCCGCAGAAAGAAGAAACGCTGTCACCGAGACGCCATGTGCTGCCCTGGAAACCGCTGCGGCAACTGTAAGGCCCTGACACACACACACACACACACACACACAAACACACATACTCACAGTACTTGTCCTGACAGTGGAATCAAAGCCTGAGCCTGCATTCCACCGCAGCGAATGTCTGGACAAGATTATACTCATTTAGCCTCTAATCTGTTGCCAGGATTAAGGAATAAATTCCACGACACCTGAGGGTGTGTCCAGATTAGGCTGAAAATTTCAATCTGACATAGGAAGAATAAACAAAAATACAGCTGGTGACCATCTTCAAATACATCGCATACCCTGCTAATGCAAACTGGCGTCTAAAACAGAAAGTAGTTTGGCTGAAACTGGATCTAAACCCACGTAGGTCAGATTTGGTGGTCTACATTCAGGACCACACACACATACGTCTTACATATGACCCTATTTTTGGAATGACTACCTTAAAAAAAAACCTGCATCCATGTCCATGTCAGGTCACGGTGACAAATGACGCAGAACTATTTCTGTTCCCCTCAACAGTTTAGCTACATAAATGCTAATTCACATGAGAAGGAAATCCAGAATAGATTGTGATATATCAGTTCTACATGAACAAGCATCAGCTACTGTACACCACACGTCCACTGTTGAATTTCTGTGTCCACACAACCCTTATAAAAAAATTTTTTTAAATCGCCTCACTGAATATGGGCTACATTAGCATCAGTTTGTCGAACAAAGCTTTAGTACAGGTCGTAGCCCCGCAGTGGAAAAACACACAGTTCCAGGTTCAGTCTGTTGAAATGCAGGGTTCAAGTAAGGAATTAGAAAAAAAAAAGAAGGCTTGTTTTAGTTCACTGAATAAAAAAAAACAAAACACAATGGTATGTAGCCCAGGGAGTCAGTAGACGAGTTAATATGTTTAACTAATGCTGAACACATGCTTTAGACACTGGGCTTGAACTGCATCATCCTATAATCCACAGCCACAGGTTAGAATTCAACGGTCACACTGTGGCATGTTGTTGAAGTAGTAAACAGTGTGAAGAGTGTGTGTGTGTGTGTGTGTGTGTGTGTGTTTTGTTCTCCTGTCATTAGTGCACACAGTAACAGGACGCAGCCTCTCCTCTTGTTTGTATTTCTTCAGTGCAAACAACGCAGCTCCCCATCTGTTTCATTTTTTAAATGAAAATTTTCTCTCTTTTTTTTTTTAAATTTATTTATTTTTGTAGATATTTGTGTCCCCACAACGGAGAGCGTGCTGTCACCTCACATCTCGCCGCTCGATGAGCACAACAAGCTCTACAACAAAGACAACTGGAAAAAGACCGTCAAACCACAGGCCAAGCATTCCCTCAAAGGTAGGAGCTGAATGACTCTCTTTGATATGATGTTAAAAACATATTCAGCAGAAGAAGGAAAAAAAAAACAACCCACAACAACCTCCGTCATCTCTGAACACTGCCACTGTTGTCTCCCTCCCTCACCTCCCTCGCTCTCATCCTCATCCAACTGGGTTTAGATGGCTAACTGTTCTTGTTGTAAACTGTCTGCAGGTCCGACAGTCTCGGGCTGACGCCAGTCCGCTAACTATGTTTATAATTACCCCTCTGCTCATATATCAGTGTCTGTGAGTCGGCGGCACAGTGAGGAAAAAAACCACAATGCCCCTGCTGTTCCTGCACCTACGTTAAGCAACGCTAACACTTTTACTGACAGCAAACATTATGCGATAAACAACAGAAAAGCCACAGAATGCACATTTGGCCCAGTTGTAGCTAATGGTTCACGGTGTAGACCCCCCCCCCACCGTGCAGCACTCATGTCACCTCATTTATGCTCATATAAAGGCCCGTCCATAAAGTAATGCATTTAATGAGAGACTTTAAATACTTCATGCACAATTAAGACAGTACGCTGTTAAAGAACCACCATGTGAAAATAGCTGCAATGTTTTCAGCTGCTGCAGATACGGCTATTTGTAATTGTTCACATTGCTTAAATGTTATTGCACCATAATGGCCTGAGAAAAAAAAAAAAAATCACCGCAGCGATTAAAGGCTGCAGCCCTGACTCAGCAGAACTTCAGACTGAAGGGCTGGAAGTAGCCAAGCAGCAAAATGTGGTTTGTTCAGGGTCTGAACCATGAAGCTGATAAATACACACATACACACAGTAGACATAGGCCATTCTGCTGACCCTTGACCTTTGACCTTACCCAGTGAATTTACCTTTGTCAATAGGAACAGCTGTTTTGTTAGTTTTGGTGATTTAAACTGAGTTTAGTGTAGATTAGAAGCAAAAGATGTGCAAGTTCCAAAGGGCTGGAAGGAGGGGGAGTAAGGAAGGGTGTGTGTGTGTGTGTGTGGGGGGGGCACTGTCTTAACTTGATCCATTACAAATATATTCCCGATCCTAATCCTTACCCTAAATCTAATCTGATCCCAATGCTAATCCTCCCTACGAATGTAATCCTGGACCTGGAGTCTCAAGATCCAGCAAAATGTCCCCACAACAATTTCACCACACACACACACACACACACACACGCTCACGGCATGACTAAAATGTATTATAATTATACATTCATGAAGTTTGTACCAGCACAAACTCCAGCCAAGGAAGTCAAACTCAGACCAGATGGAACCGTGTGGTTAATATACAGGATTCAAACAATACGGTTTTATATATAGAATAATTGAATTGACATTAATGGAAAAAATGTTTTCTGTTTTGTCTGCGAAAGGCCTGAACTGAGACATAAAGAAAAGCAGGCTAAACCCGTCCCCATGAAGCCAGCATAACAATTTAATAAAGTCTGATTGGACGTTTCCTCCCGCTCATTTAACTGAAACATTGTACAACAAACTTCAAGATGTTAACGGCTGTGTGTTTTCATCAGCCTTTTTTTGTTTTTACGTTTCTGATTTGACAGCGTTTGTTTCTGTTTCCCCGAGCAGAGATGTTCAAACTTGATATCGGAGATGGAGCTTGTGTCTTTAGCGTTGAGCGCTAATCAGAGATCTTTCCTGTCGTCTTCTCTTAGGGCACGAGGGCGACCCCTGTCTGCGCTCATCCGACTGCTCGGAGGGCTACTGCTGCGCCCGCCATTTTTGGACCAAAATCTGCAAGCCGGTGCTGAGGCAGGGAGAGGTGTGTACTAAGCAGAGGAAGAAGGGTTCTCATGGCTTGGAAATCTTCCAGCGCTGTGACTGCGCCAAGGGCCTCTCCTGCAAGGTGTGGAAAGATGCCACCTCCTCATCCAAGTCCAGGCTCCACATGTGCCAGAAGATCTGAAGCAGAAGCAGCTGCTGCCGGCATTGAGGCCTCGGTCTCCATCTGCCAGAGAAAAGTTTTTCTTTTTTTTTTTCTTTTTTATTTTGAAAGGATGGGTTGAGGCTGCATTGAAAAGGACTTAAATACAGAGACTAACGAGAGACAGGACAGACTGTGTGGGTTCGAGTCCACTAAGAACGCTCAGAGTCAATGGGATTGTTTTAATGTGTCTCCATCGCAGCGCCCACACACACACACACCCACACACACTCACAGCTAATGCTCCCACAGTGTAACAAGGCCTTCTACACATTCAGCCACTGTGATTGGTGGAGTTTTTACACGGAGGCATCAGACGTAAACGCTCATTCTGAGACGGCAGACAAACCATTTACAAACAAAACATCTTTGACTCCATTCCAAAATCTTTTTGTTTGAAAGATCAAACTTGTTGCTGGTGTTACGCTACTGCAGTTTGTCATCTTTACCAAATGTCACTGTATTGCTGTTGTTGTTGGTTTCTCTTTAAATATCACACTGAACTCAGTTTTTGTAACAAATCCCAGACTCCACCAATACTGGTCTCATCACAGAGGGCGCTAATTGCATCCACTGCTCCCTCCAGAGCTGGACATGTGTGAAGAAAGAACATGTACAACACGGTGATGAGTTTCATCTGCTGGATAAGCTCCTCGCCCCAATGTTTTAGCCACAAGGGAAAGATAACGTTTTGTGTCCGATGTGGAAATCTGGTTTGATCTGTCGGACGCAGCTGCAGTCTGTTGTGATCAAACTGTGTGGATGAGAACGGTTCGCACTGAGCTGGTGCTGAGCTGCAGACTGGCTGAGCCCAACAGTAGACACACACACACACACACACACACGCAGTATGGCTCTGCTTTTCCAATCACATGAACACAATCCAAGGGTACGATGGAAGTGCAATTTTTTCCACTTGCAAAGCCAGTAGGAATGGACACACGAGAAGATTAATTAGAGTTACTGAAATGCTCCATGAACCTGATGTTTGGGAGGAGAATTACAGAATGAATCAACATTTTGTTGGTGGCACGCAGCCTTGTGTATGTTTAGGTTTTTGGTTCAAAATAAGACAGAATTCTTTCCTCCTGTTCAGTCATTTAGGTGAGGCAGCGCCGCTCCTTCCTCTTCAGATTTCCTGGTTTCACAGTATCAAATACACAGGTTTTTTTTAATCCATTTAAAATATCAATAAGCTCTTATATTGTAAATAGAATGAAAAACAATGAAAATGTATTTAAAGTCAGTGTATATCATGTACATATAATTAAAAAAATATGAATCCTACACATTACAGCAAATCTAGGTGAGAAGAGAAATGGGACGTGACAACTTGGACTGATCCGGAATAACGTAGTGACGCTGTGCATATTGAAGAGTGAAGGCGTAGATAGTGACGAACTAGACCCACCGCAGAGACGGCTAATACAGAACTAAGACAGAACTCATTAACTCCTAAAATAGTCCGTGTAAATGGTGTGTAAATGGTTTCAAGAGTTATATTCCCACTAAATATTGTTATTGTGAATATTTTCCTTTGATTTCCTTTGTGTATTTCCAATGACTAATGAATAAAAGAATGTATTTTGTAACACTGCT